AGTTCAATATGTATGGTATGAGAAAATAAAATCAAGACATTAATTCCATCAATTAAAATACTAGGACATTTTGATGATGATAAGAAGGGAAGTACCTTCGGATGCGTCAGTGGTGGGATTTTGTGCTCTGGATTTTCCAACTGATGATAAGAAGAAGATGAAGCAGACGTGAGCAGCAGCCAGCGCAGAAGCAAAAGAAAGTATCTTCATTCTTCTCTGTCCAATTTTACTGCAGCGCAGCAGACTTGATAGCCTCCGCGGCATTTGAATACATTTTTGGCCTCAAGTCCTAGTCAATTTATGGAAACGCAGATTCCTCCCAACCTAATTCATTTGACCAATGTAGGACGGGGGAAGCAGCCCCCTTACACTTTTAAAAAACATTTAATATGGTACCCTAACTTTTATTTGTTAAAAATTTTGTTTTTCTGGTTTGAATTTTAAGAATCATTTTAAATGTAGGGAGAATATTTAGGACCTAAATAAAAAGTTTTCAAAAAATAAGGATATGATTTAAATAAAATAAATTTTACGACAATTTAATTTATTAGGAATTGGGGTTTGTTAAACATTTTCTTATCTATTATGCCTCTAAAGTGAAAACTTTGATTCTCTATTTTATTAACTTTAAATTTACAAGTTTTTTAGTATTTTTTACTTTCTTTTTTAATATTTTATATAAAAATTTAAAGTTTTTTATCGCATTCAGGTATATTTTTACTTTTCATGATTAAATTTATAATAATTTTTTGTGTTAAATCAATCCAAATTAGAGTTCATTTTCTAAAAGAAATAGTATTTTTTAATATTTCAGTATTTTTATAATATTAGTGTTTATCAATATAATCTTCAAAAAATTAGAAGGAAAATACTCAAAATTACATTATTTCAATAAAATCAAAATATTCTTGTTCTTACTTTAATAATATATTGTTTTTATCTTTTTCAAATTGAGTTTATTAAATAATGTAATTTTGTGGTATTTTTCTTTCCAATTTTTTAGAGATCTTGTTAACAAACACATTTCTCTTAAGTAATTCATTCTTCAATTAATCGTTATATGATTTGTTACTATAATATTTGTTTATTATAATAAATATACTTATTTTTAGTTTTTATTAAAAATATATCAATAAAAAAATCACAAGTAAATCTTTTTATAAGAGAAAAAAGATTAAAAAAAAGGCCAAAACCCCTATTTGCACCCTACACTTAATTGTTTTCTACGGTCAACACCTTCCAAATATTTTCCTCCCTATTCACACCCTCAAGTTTTCAAAACTCGTGAAAAACCCAACATTTTAACGCGCCGTTATGGCACCGTTACAGAATGCACTACGTGGCACCCAGAAATTGACGTGCCCACTATGTGCCGTCAGTAATCCAATGTGGAGGCCTTTTTTGATGATGTGGCTTATTTTCTGCACACGTGGACGCCACGTGCACA